GTGCACACTTTCCTTCCACCATCTGGGTCGCGATCAAGAGCTAAAGTGATTAGCTTTCAGCCTATACCCCCTTTCATTTTTCCTTTACTGTCCCTTTAATCGATCTTTACCCTTTAACGAGGTATGATCTCAACCCGAATACTCAACGGGATACAATTACACTGTAATTAAAGCAGAGTTCTGATTCTAACTAATTTGCATTTAAGGATTATGGTTTACAGTTAAAATAAATAGTCGTAATTACAATTCCTACGTCTTTATCTATATCACATTATTAAGGCAAATCACGTTACGTTCTACAGAACAGTTAGAATTAGTCGTAATTTAAGATATATCACATGGTTAAGCTATCCATGCTACGTATTCATTTAGAATGCATTTCCAAATGAAGAAATGGGTTTTTACTTACAAACATCGATCATTTATAATGTACAGTTTACTGCAAATGTACAGAATATCGTATTTCCCGATATTTATTACAATCCTCTATTTCTAGTGGGGCCTAAACAGTTTTTTTTTAATTTGGAAAACAAGTAAATCAAGCTGCTCAAAGATGGTTCTGATGGTCAGAAGGATTGATGCTCCATAATCAACGCATGTTACATCAGAGAACCCGAATTTTCAATACCATTATTATTCTGCCCCCCCCCCCTCCCCCCTAGAAAGAAAAAATGTAATGCCGCCCCCCACCCCACCCGAAAAATTCCTGAAAACGCCCTGTCAAATTGGGGAATTTTACAGCAAAGGCTATAATTATTTTTTTGTTTAATGAAATGGACTAACGTTAAAAGCGTTAAAAATCCCTTTAAATGGTAGCAGACCTAGATATTTGATTTTTTTGCTAAATATCTATTTTGTTGTTTATGATTAAACCTGCAGGCTGGATACAGGAGATATAGAGCTAACAGGTAAAACACTTATTCATTATCTAAAGTGAATTTAAAGGGAATGTAAGCGTAATTTCAAGTGACCCTCTATGCAAAGATGGCAATGCCCGATTTACAACGGTACCATTGAAACCTTAATCTAATTAAAAATGTGGATAATGCTGTCGTGAACCTGATTTGAAAAGTGTTCAACTTTCTCCATTGTTTCTTAAAAGCAAGACATGCTCAAGTCACTTTTGCAGAGATTCCGCACATGAAAATAAACTGTACAAAGACATTGTTATCTAATTCATACTTGATCATACAAAGCTTTTATGGGTAACGTTGTAAATCAGGCATTGGTACCCATAAAAGGTACCCCAGTCCAGACACAACCAGT